CGTTCATTTTGAGATGTTCTTGATGACCCAGCAAAAACCTCTTCTGGCCACCACAGGGGTGGGGCTCGAGTCGCCCTGAAGATCATTAAGAACGTGGAAAAGTATAAGGAAGCAGCTCGACTTGAAATCAACGTCCTGGAGAAGATCAACGAGAAGGACCCTGACAATAAGAAGTAAGCAGCAGAGGGGTGTGTGGGGGTCTGAGAGGCTCCACTCCTGTACAGGAGAACCCAAACCCTCCCGGCCTGGGTTAGGCAGGCAGGGGAGTCCTGGGCCTTCTCATCCATTCATCTTTTCGTCATCATCTTAGACTAGTAGGACATTAGGGCAGGAAGAGAGGGTGTGTGACATTGTCTGGTCTGTTCCCCTTGTTGTCAGGGCACTTAGATTCCTCTGCACTTTGGCTCCAGCCAGGGTGGCCTCTGTAGAGCTCTGCCCTGGAAATGGCCCTGAGACTGAGAATCAACATTTTCCGTGAAAAATCACTTGAGCTTTTCGATATCTAGAACCGTGTTGCCGAGGCGACAGACATTTACGTGTAATATTTGCGTCCGCGCGCCTTTTGTAAGCCAACGTGGAAGAAGGGCGTTAAGGAGACGGCCAGTAGAAACACAGGGCCCACTGGCAGCCGATGGTGAATGGATCTCAGGAGTGGGAGCCGGGGTCAGGGTTTAGGAATGACAGTTTGACAGTTCAGGGTCCACACCGGAGACCGGCACCAACAGCTCTTCAGCAAATGGAATCTTTTCTAACTATTTAAAATGATGCAGGAAAATGGTATGAACCTTGGGTCCGCCAGAAAGGCCGTTCGCTGGCCGAACTGAGTTTGTTGGTCATACTGCCCGGCAGGTTTTTACCCGCGGATGTGGACTCAGCAGCCCTGCAGCCCCTCCTTGTTGGAAGGGTGGTGGGCAGATAGGAGCTCATCAGACCTCCCCCTTCCCTCATCTCTTCTCAGCCTCTGTGTCCAGATGTTTGACTGGTTTGACTACCATGGCCACATGTGTATCTCCTTTGAGCTCCTGGGCCTTAGCACCTTCGATTTCCTCAAAGACAACAACTACCTGCCCTACCCCATCCACCAAGTGCGCCACATGGCCTTCCAGCTGTGCCAGGCCGTCAAGTGTGAGTGGGGCGGGCCGAGATGGATTCTGGGGCAGCCCCTCCCTCTGTTGGGCCTCTTCTGTGTCAGTGAGCAGTGGTGAAGCCCCTAAACTGTCAGCTCGATTATCTGCAGTTCTTTCATTCACTGTCATGTTGACACCTCCTTAACTCCTTGACCAGTGTTCTCACTGTCATCGATTGGTCTTCCTCCACATCCAGCCTAGCAGGAGCTGGAAGAGAAAGCCTTTGAAATCAAAGCATTGATCGGATTACCTCTTTTTTCCTTCGTTTCCCTTTCTTGGGAAAACAGAAGTCAGGTTGCAAGCACAAAGAGACAAAAAGTCTGCCCCAGCTAGAGGCTTACATTTGTCTGAGCTGAGATGCTCTCTGTTTCCACCAGAGCAGGTGCGGCCAGGGACTAAGGCAAACAAGGGGCCAGATGGGGGGTCCAGACACAAGTACATGGTTCCCCTTGGGTCTTCCTGACCATGCAGTTTCCCAGAGTTGAATTCACGGAACATCAGATAGGCACGCACATCAAGGAACAGAACTGCAATGCGTAGCAAACTCTTTGTACGTCAGTTGAGAATCATGTTTGTTCTCTGATACTGATAAGCATTGTGCTTCTTAGACCAGGCATTTCATTTGGAAGTAGGGCAGAAAGCAGCCTAGTGATTCTGGATCTGCCTCCTCACCAGCTTTGAGCCAGGTGACCAAGCTTGGGGTCACTGGTGCCAGTTAGCCCTGGCCACCTGGAACAACCCTGACCTGGTCTTCTCCCCTGCAGTCCTCCATGATAACAAGCTGACACATACGGACCTCAAGCCTGAAAATATTCTGTTTGTGAATTCAGACTATGAACTCACCTACAACCTAGAGAAGGTAAGATGGACAGGCGGCCGGGCCTTAAAGCCCCTCTCTCCTCCCTGTTACTTTCTCCCGTGTTCTCTCCCAGTATGGCTCTGACTAGGTAAGCCCGAATACCAAAATAGAGTGAAAGGGAGAGATTTGAGGGACGCTTGGGGGGCTCAGTCAGTTAAGTATCCAACTTTGGCTCAGGTCACGATCATGGTTCATGAGCTCGAGCCCCCGCGTCGGTCTGTGTGCTGACAGCTCGGAGCCTGGAGCCTGCTTCGGATTTTGTGTCTCCCTGTCTCTCTCTGTCAAACACAAATAAACATAAAAAAAATTTTTTTTAAGATTTAAGAAGATATAATTTGGAAGAGAACTTGGAAGGAGAAGCTCAGAGAACTTTCCAATAGAGAGCAAATGCTTTCAAGATACTTGGTTGGGACTTTTTTTCTCTGTAGGAAAGCTCAGTTCTGGACCTATTTTCAGAAGCACCGTAGTACCAGTGCGTGGGAAATGTCCGCATACGTAGGGACTTGTGTGCTCTCCCATGGTCCCACTCCTAAGTCACCTGCAGGATACGGGGAAGCTGTAAAGCAGATTCTCCTTTGTGCATGGGAGTAAGCAGGGGGTGAAGTTGCTTTTTTTCAGGCTTGAAAGCACTCTAAAGAGTAGTGGTAGAATCTTGGTCTCGGGTGGCTGGGTCCATCCTCCTCCTGCTCTGCTCCTAGAAACGAGATGAACGCAGCGTGAAGAGCACAGCTGTGCGGGTGGTGGACTTTGGTAGTGCCACCTTTGACCATGAACACCACAGTACCATCGTCTCCACTCGCCATTACCGAGCACCAGAGGTCATCCTCGGTAAGTGGGGGCGAGTAGGGGAATGGACTCGTCCAAGGGTGGGCGGTGGGGAGGGTGGGGCCCCCTAAGCACCGTCTAACACCTTGTTCCTCCCATTCCCACTAGAGTTGGGCTGGTCACAGCCTTGTGATGTGTGGAGCATAGGCTGCATCATCTTCGAGTACTATGTTGGCTTCACCCTGTTCCAGGTAAGCGGTGGAGTGTCTTATGTCCCCACTTGGCATTTTCCTGCCTGGGTTCCTTGTCTGCCAGGGACCTGTCTGCTCACTCCTCCCCTTTGCTAATCATCCCGGAAGCTGGTCGTCAGCAGCCCGTTTGCAGCACCGTGCTCAGTTCTGTCTTTGTTTCGCAGACGCATGACAACAGAGAGCATCTAGCCATGATGGAAAGGATCTTGGGTCCTATCCCTTCCCGGATGATCCGGAAGACAAGGTGAACCTGGAGTTGGGGGGAGCTTAACCCTTTTTCCTTTCTCTCCTCGAAATTGGTCGATTTCACATCATTTTCTTTTTTCTTTGACACCTTCCCTCCTCCCAGCTACTGTAAGATGGGGGAATAAGGGAAATGTCCCCCAACAAAAGGAACCTCCTGATTCCTCAACCTCCCCTTCCCCTCTAGGAAGCAGAAATACTTCTATCGGGGCCGCCTGGATTGGGACGAGAACACATCAGCAGGGCGCTACGTGCGAGAAAACTGCAAACCACTGCGGGTGAGCCAGGCTGGGGATACCTTGCGCCCACTGGCCAGAGGGCATTTCCTTCTTCAGGTGGTTTGCCCCTGGAATGCACTTCACAAGAGAGGGTTAGGAAAGAAGGGGGAAAACTGAAATGCCCCTTTGGGTATCGTAGAGATACGAGGGAGTGGTTTTGTGGAGGGAAGGAGGTTAGATAGCCATGGATTTCTTGAGCCAACCAGAGATCACAGTAATGTCCTGGGTTCTGTAGGTCAGACAGAAAAGAATAAACTACCTTTGAAGAGCTTACATTTTAACGAGGAGCTAAAGAAGATTCATGACGTTGACAAGGATATACAAGCAGAAAGAACCTTCAGAGAGTACGAAGGAGTAATTGTGCTAGTGGGAGGGAGTTGAGCAGTAGTATCCGCAGCGCTCGTAAGGTCACGTTCCCAATAGCATTCATAACGGCAGAGGCTTGGTCCTCTGAGGTTGAAAGTTAGGGCCTTGAAGAAAAAGGGCAGGAACTGTAAGGCGTCGTGCCTCACCTTTTCCCTGCCCTCCACCACCAGCGGTATCTGACCTCCGAGGCAGAGGAACACCACCAGCTCTTCGATCTGATTGAAAGCATGCTAGAGTACGAACCTGCTAAGCGGCTGACCTTGGGTGAAGCCCTTCAGCATCCTTTCTTCGCCCGCCTTCGGGCTGAGCCACCCAACACCAAGTTGTGGGACTCCAGTCGGGATATCAGTCGGTGACGATCAGGCCCTGGGCCCCCCTGCGTGTCCTGCAGCAGTGGGTGTCCAGTCCAGGACACTGGTGCTTTTTTATATCAGAGAACAGAGCCGGAGCCAGCTCCTTCCTCCTGGCTCCCTGTATACCTGTGAATATGTGAAATAGTGTAAATACGGAAGAACTTGTACCTACTGCTTCGTCCCCAGCCTTGTACAGAATGCTGTTCCTTCCCACACTCTTCCCGCCGTCACCTGCCCCCTCGCTGTTGAGCTGGACAGGGCAGGATGAGGTGACCGGGTGGCATCTATCCCATGTTTTATAAGGAATTTTGTACAGTCTTTGTGAAATAAAAATGACGTGCTTCATGCGACCCCCACCCCTGGAGTTCGAGGTCTGGGACGCTGGGCTGGAGGGATGAGAAGACCGGCCGCCCTTCTGAGTTTGTGGACCCAGGGGGTCCATCCTCCCCCTGCACCGTCCTGAGCCCGGCCGCCGGTTCGTCCGGTGTGTCGCGAGAGGGTTGCGGTGGCCGGGGAGTTCCTGTGGGCCAGTCGGGGGCACACGTCTGAGTGCTGTGCCGGGGGAGGTGGGGGGGCGGGGGGCCCGGGCCAGCCGGACTCCGGTTGCGGAAGCGTGCGCAGGGCCTGCGGCGGCTCCAGCCGGTTGGCGGGCCCGCCCTCCGACGCAAGGCCCGCCGGGACGTGTAGTTCGTGGCGGGGCGGGGCCGCGGCGTCACGTGGGGCGCTTCCGTCCTCGCCCGTAGCGGAGGCGCAGGCGCAGCCGGCCGCCGCTGCGGGGATCCTCGGGACCCTTCCGGTCTCCGCGGCCAATCCGTGCACGGCGGAGCGGGCGGACCGACGGGAGCGGAGGGAGCTCCGGGAGCCGCCGCCGCCGCCGCCGCGCAGGGGCGTGGAGGGCAGGGGCGGCCCAGGCCGCAGTTGCAAACATGGCTCAGAGCAGAGACGGCGGAAACCCCTTCGCCGGGCCCGGCGAGCTTGACAACCCCTTTCAGGTGACGCCGGCCTTCTTTGGGTAGCTCGGCCGACTCCTCTCGCTTCTGGACGGGCTAACTTGTTGTATTCCCATTCCTGACATTTGTGCCGGGGGAGGGCCGCCACGTGGGGGTGACGGTGACTCCAGACCAGTGAGCACGCGGGGGGCGGGCCGTGCCCCTGTAAGGAGCTGGTGCTAACAGAGCGCGGTGAAGGGTTTGGGGCAAATGTTGGGGCAACGGCGTGGCCTCCAACGAGCCACAGGCATTAGGAGAGGCCCCCGTCAGTTCCCCCAGAGGCACCAGAGGCACCAGGTGCCCGCTGAGCCGCAGCTCTCTGCCCGCAGGACCCAGCTGTGATCCAGCACCGACCCAGCCCGCAGTATGCCACCCTTGACGTCTACAACCCTTTTGAGACCCGGGAGGTGAGGTTCTGGAGAGCATAGGATGACAAGGAAGGGGAGGGTGTGCCAGTAAGCTCACTCTGTCGGGATACGGGGGACTTTTCTGCATGCAAAGGAAGGGACACTGTGATCTTAACTCCCTGAGAGAGGCCGGTCCGCCCTGGGCTGCCTAATCCTTCTGGAGACACCAGGGTCAATGATCCCGTTGGAGCTCTCAGTGGTAGTCCCGGCGGGGGGTGGGGGGTGGCTGGAGACTGACAGGGCCTGAACCAAGGCTGTGTTTGGGGAGGCTTCTTTGAACAAAATAAATTATGGGACTGGTTGGAGTTGAGTAAGCGAGTTATGCTTAGGTGTGCCTCCAGAAGGCAAGCAGTCAGGGCTGGACCTGTTGTTCCACTGGAGTAGAAAGTGCCGAGACTTTGAAAGAGAAAGAGGGGCGCCTGGGTGGCTCGGTCGGTTAAGCCTCCGGGTTTGGCTCAGGTCATGATCTCACGGTCGGTGAGTTCAAGCCCCACGTCGGGCTCTGTGCTGACAGCACAGAACCTGGAGCCTGCTTTGGATTCTGTGTCTCCCTCTCTCTCTCTGCCCCTTCCCCCCGCCCCCCCCCCCCCGCCGCCACCCCTGTCCTCCACGCTTTCTCTCTCAAAATGAATAAACATTAAAAAAAAAAATAAAATAAGAGCCAAGAGCTTTAAAAAGCGGAGGGGGTGGGTTCGGTAGATGAGTGTCTTGAGTCCCGGCTAAGGAATTGGATGTGAGGGGTGGTGAGGGCTGACCGGTTTGGCTCTCTGTGGGGGAGGGGGCGGGGAAGGGGACCCAGATGCAGAGGTAGACAGTCCCTGGATACCTGCGTCGGGAGGGATTAGGTGATCCCTAAGGCCTTTTGCAAAACCAACAGCCCCCACCAGCGTACGAGCCTCCGGCCGCGGCCCCGTTGCCTCCCGCCTCGGCTCCCTCGTTGCAGTCTTCCAGAAAGCTCAGCCCTACAGAACCCAAAAACTATGGTTCCTACGGCACCCAGGTAAACAGCAGGTGTGAGTGGGGGTGGGCTGTGGGGGCCAGACCTGGGCCCAGGGCTCACATCTCTCCCCCCCTCGCCCCGCACACACTGGGCAGGCCTCAGCTGCAGCAGCCACAGCCGAGCTGCTAAAGAAGCAGGAGGAGCTGAACCGGAAGGCCGAGGAGTTGGATCGGAGGGAGCGGGAGTTGCAGCACGCCGCCCTGGGGGGCGCAGCCGGTAAGCGGTCCGTGGGCGGGGCGTGTTCCACCCTTTTAAGGAGCAAAACGAATGTGAGCGAGTGGGCTCTGGAGCCACATTGCTGACTTTGAATTTGGGCACTAATTGAATTTGGGTACTCCCTGCCTCTGAGCGCTTAGGTACGTTACTTAATCTTGAGTGCCTCAGTTTTCTTACTTTTTTTTCCTAACATTTATTATTGAGAGACAGAGCATGAGCAGGGGAGGGGCCGAGAGATGCGGAGACACAGAATGTGGGGCAGGCTTCAGGCCCTGAGCTGTCAGCACAGAGCCCGACGCAGCACAGAGCCCGACGCAGGGCTCGAACCCACAAACTGTGAGATCACGACCTGAGCCGAAGTCGGACACTCAACCGACTGAGCCACCCAAGTGCCCCTCAGTTTTCTTACTTTTTTTTTTTTTTTTAATTTTTTTTTTTTTTAATGTTTATTTCTTTTTGGGACAGAGAGAGACAGAGCATGAACGGGGGAGGGGCAGAGAGAGAGGGAGACACAGAATCGGAAACAGGCTCCAGGCTCCGAGCCATCAGCCCAGAGCCCGACGCGGGGCTCGAACTCGCGGACCGCGAGATCGTGACCTGGCTGAAGTCGGACGCCTAACCGACTGCGCCACCCAGGCGCCCCTCTTACTTTTTGAAAAAATACTTACTTATTTAAGTGATCTCTACACCCAGCATGGGGCTTGAACTCACGACCCTGAGATCAAGAGTCACACGCTCTTACGACGGAGCCAGCGGGTGCCCCCGTTTCCTTGTTTGTAAAACAAAGATAGCATAACGTGTGTGCTTGTTGGATAGGACTGTTGTGAGAGGGAAACAAGGCCATCCCTGCAAAGTGCTTGACAGTGCTCCGAAGTCGCAAATAACAGAAAACACTGTCAGCCTTGTTTTTGCCACTCTCTTCTGTCTCTTCTGTCTCGGACCCTGAACTGGAGATGGAAGAGAGGACCTGGGGTGGAAGGGAGGGTGGTGATTCCTTTGTTGGTCTCTGCCTCACTTCTGGGTCTTCCCGCTCTCTCTGTGCCTTACAGCTCGACAGAACAACTGGCCCCCTCTACCTTCTTTTTGCCCAGTCCAGCCCTGCTTCTTCCAGGACATCTCCATGGAGATCCCCCAAGAATTTCAGAAGACCGTATCCACCATGTACTACCTCTGGATGTGTGAGTAGTGACAAGCCTTTTCCGGAGGAAGAGTGCAGGTGGTACCTTTACGTCTTTCCTGCCCCAGTGCCCACTCTCCGAGAACTCGGCATTTCATCTCTGCTCGACTTTTGAGGGTTTTTTTTTTTTTTATGTTTATTTTTGAGAGAGCAGGTGAGGGGCAGAGAGAGAGAGAGAGAGGGAGGGAGGGAGACACGGAATGCGAAGCAGCTCCAGGTTCTGAGCTGTCAGCACAGAGCCTGATGCAAGGCTCGAACCCGTGACTGGTGAGATCATGACCTGAGCTGAAGCCACACGCTCAGCCGACTGAGCCCCAGGCGCCTCTCAGCTTCCGAGTCTAAGGCTCATTTCACCCGTTTTCCTGGGTGACTCCTTTCGTGGTATCTAGAAGCTGTTCTCCAGCCTCCTAGCAAAAGTGTGTTCTTGTCTTCCCCCGCCTCTTGTTCCGGTGCGTGAACGTTTTCTGAGTCCTTTAAATGTCTTTGCAAAGAGACCTGTCTCCCCTGTTGAGTTGAGGATTTGGTGAAGGCAGGGGTCCCTTTCCTTACTCTGCCGGATCGGCCGAGGAGGGCGTGGGGGGCTCCTGCGGGAAGGGGGGCTCGCGTTGCCACCCAGGCTCACCACCCTGCACCTCCGTCCCTCAGGCAGCACGCTGGCTCTTCTTCTGAATTTTCTTGCCTGCCTGGCCAGCTTCTGCGTGGAGACCAGCAATGGCTCGGGCTTTGGGCTCTCTATCCTCTGGGCCCTCCTTTTCACACCCTGCTCCTTTGTGTGCTGGTACCGGCCCATGTACAAGGCCTTCCGGTAAGCTGAGGCCAGGGGTGGTGGAGAACCTTAGATGGGCCCCACGTCTGCTGCTCCTGCCCTAACTCTTCTCCGACCCTCCCCACTTTTTCTGTCCCGCAGGAGCGACAGTTCATTCAATTTCTTCGTTTTCTTCTTCATTTTCTTCGTCCAGGATGTGCTCTTTGTCCTGCAGGCCATTGGCATCCCAGGTTGGGGGTTCAGGTCCGTGAAGCTGCCATCCACCCTCTCCCTTCCCCTCATTCCGCCAGACCAAGTCAGCCCTGGGTACTGGGGTAGGGGTTGTTCAGGAGGAGGAGGTGTGGTGTTTTACGCTTGGGAGGTGCTAGCTTCACGAGAGAGATAGGACCTACTTCCAGGATAGAGAGCCCAGTCAGAATTCTAGACAGGCATAGGTTTGGGGGAGGAAAGGTGCACGTGGCCAACCTGAGACGGCTTCCTGGGGGAAGCATGCGTAAGCACTTTTGAAGAGGGGACGGAGACCCCCTCAGCAGAAAGGCCTGTTTGGAGCGAGGATGTCTGGAAAGGCTTGGAGAGCCCGCAGCCAGTCGTTCAGAAGCTGGAAGTGAACTTGGAAGAGAGTGGATGTAGTTTGGGATCCTGGTACTTGGAGAGCCGCCAGGCTGACAGGGAGCGACCCCTGCTGGGATGGGCGGGAATAGGGCACGTTTGCTCCCTAACCAGCCAAGAAACGGGGAGGACTGAGGCCCTGCCGGGAGTGGCCCCTCTTCACCGCCGCCCCCTTCCCCTCCTGGCAGTGGCTGGATCTCCGCTCTGGTGGTGCTGAAGGCCAACCCGGCGGTGGCCGTGCTCATGCTGCTGGTCGCCCTGTTCTTCACTGGCATCGCTGTACTGGGGATTGTGATGCTGAAGCGGGTGAGAGGCTGTGTTCGAGGTGGGGAGGTGGGCGGGAAGAGTGAGATCATGGGCCCCGAGGGGCCTGGGGAGGGGCGGTCATTCTGGAGGAAGTCGGGAGGGCCTGGCTGACCGGAGGCTTCTCTGCTAATGGACCTCTGGGGAAGAGTGTGTGTGTGTGTGTGTGTGTGTGTGTGTGTGTGTGTGTGTGTGTGT